TTTTCTGTATATGTCAAAACAATTTTCTTTGTAAATTGAATAAAAGAACTCTGATATATATTTTTATAATAGCAGTTGAGAAACATTAAAAATAGATACATTTTTTTTAAAAATTATTCTGGTTTCGATTTAGTTATTCTAGAATAATTTGAAAAGTATTTAGAAATAGATTTATAAATTCTGTAGGAAACAAAAAAGACAACAATAATAAAAACTAATACTAAAGCAATGAGATCCAAGAGATAGTATTGATACCACGATAGGTTAATTTCGTGAGATGTTAGATGGGGGGCTCCTTTATGACGTAGAACATATTCTGTCCAGTACACAACTAAGCTTGCTGGTGACATCGGCCTATCTCTAAATATTTTTTTAGCAGTTTTAGCATTTTCTTTGTACCTGGAAAAATGTATACAGAAATATTTTCAGTAGGTATTTACAGAATATGAGATGCCTTTACTTTTCATTGTGTAATAGTTCTAAAACATTTTTGAAGAACTCATCCTTTGTTACGGACAAAATATCCATAGAAATCGCCATTCCTGCATTGACCAAACTGTCAATATTTTTTGGCTGATCACCAAATAAAGGAAATCCAAGAACGGGGACACCGCCATCTACAGCTTCATATAACCCAGATATACCTCCGTGACTGATAAAGAGTTTCACATTCGGGTGCACTGTAATAAAAAAAAAGTTAAGAATTATAACACGATTTGTATTCTAGAAATTTAAAACACTAAAATATTACAAAGAATTTCACGTTGAGGTAGCCACTTTTTAATCATAACATTTTTTGGTAAATTTTCAATTTCATCTTCATATTTCCATAACACTCTTTGAGGGATTTGTGCGAGTGCATCCATAAATGCTTTTTTGGTGTTTTCTGGTAATGAAGTCATTTTAACAGTTGAACCAAACGTGAAATAAACAACACCATGAGGTGATTGTTCAATGAATTCCAATATATCCTGTGAATAGAAAAATAGAAAATATAATTTATAAAATGACTTTTTCGGATACAATTAGATTTAAATATTACTAATACCTATAATGGCATTAGGTACTAAAAGAGATAGTCTAAATCAGCGGTTCTCAAACTTTTTCGCGTACAATTTAAAATATTCATGTATTTACTCTCCGTTCTATAATTTTGTGGCCTTTCGGCTTACCGACATGTAGTCTTCCGCATACCACTAGTGGTACGCGTACCATAGTTTGAAAACCTCTGGTATAAATTAATTATGGTCGAACATAATTTCTAAAAATATATTATTACAAGCCCTGAAGATTTTATACATTTGTATTAATTCTTCTTTAGTTATAATTGTATAAATAAACAAATTGTATTTGAAATCGGTTTTGTATAGTATACATACAATTATTGTTTGAGAATTATTTGTTTCAATTAACTAATTGTATTTTAAAACTTTTGATAACTAATTTTTTTGAATGTATAAATTGTCAACATAGGCAAGTTTAACATAGAAGTTTACGGGTAACATTTTCTGGTGTTATCAGATAATTAAATTAAATAATATTAGATTCTGAGCGGAGCAATGAATGTATTGATTTTAGAATGATATTTCTTTTTTATTTCATCATCACGGTTTGGGTCAGTAAAAGTACTTCAATTTTCTCCAACAGCAACTTTTCTGATTTGAAAATGAATCTAGTTGATGCATTCAGGAGGTAAAAATTCCCAAAAGTTTTCAAAAACTACAGGAAAAACAAACAATAAATTAATGAAAAACTGGAATTTTCACTCAAAACAAATTTTTGAAAAAACTGATTTTGGTCCCTAGAGAAAAATTAAAAAAATGACCCTACATACATGCAATTTTTACTGAATATTTGTGTTAGAATTTTCTATACATCATGAAATTTCCAAAATATTTACCCTTGTTGAACTATTTATCTTCATTTGGCATTTTTGGTTGTGTATAATTTGTTTTTTTTAAACTTATGTCGATAAATGTTTTCTAAGTTCCTCATAAGTTGTTTTAAGTTGAAATTTAAAAAAAAGCTGAATTTCAATTCACAATAATTTTTTATTTTTTATTTCGAATTTTGACAAAATTTGTAAAATCCAGGAAAATCAGGAAAATATTTTGAATTAGAAATTCATAAAATTTTTTCTTTTTTCATCTAAGATCTAAGATTTAAAAATTGAATACAAGATTCCTTAGAAGTTTGCCTACCTTTATCAAAAAAAAAATTCTTTCGGAAAGTCAAATTACATTTTTATATGAGCGTTTGAAGTTGAAATTTTTGCAACATTGGATATTCACTCGATTTATCATATAGCGATTTTCTTATTTTGTTGTAATTCAAAAACGAAGACTGTAGACACTTGAAAGTTAAGCCATGTGTTTGTTTCATCAATTAATATACTTGATAAGAAATATTTTGACTCATTTTGAGCTGTTGACAGTTTTTTTTCTATTAATCTCAATAGAATTTTGTTCGTTGAATCAAAGCGCTTAACAACTGAATATAAGACAAATGATATATTATTGTTACAATAGCAGTCAAAAAATATTAAAAATACATAAAACACTAATTTTTTTTTACGAGCATTTAAAGTTTAAATTTTGACAAAATCTATATCATTCAAAATTTACAAATAATTTTAGAGTTGAAAATTTTTATAGTTAGCTGCAAAGAGTTGAAAATTTAAGGCAAGGTTTCAGTAACCAAGTTGGTTATTCTGCAATAAAATAATCTAAAAATATACAATCACTGTTTTCTTTTTAGTTGTTTAATGATGAAATTACTTATTAAATAACCAAGAATAAAGATTTAAGTTATTTTGTTGTGATTAAAATATATTATTTTTGAGTACTTAAAACTTTTAGAGTATATCATTATATTATAATATACACATAATGAAATTTTAAATATATTTGTTTCGCAAAAATGAATTGAATCTACTGTAATACTATAATGCTTAATAGTAAAATAAATTAACTTACAATAATATCATCAAATATAATAAATTACAAAGTTATATTATTGGCTGACAGACTGACTTCGCTCAAAATCATTTTTCGTATAAAATGGTTTTATATCGTTGAATTCAAATTTAAAACCATCCATTACACTTATAAACTACTGTACAACAGAGCGACATCCAATTTTTGTGATTCATTTTCAAATGTTGTAAATATAAGATAAAAGTGGATATTTAAAAAACGTTTTGACCTCTTTTTTTGCTCTCTTTTGAAGTTTATGTGAATTTAGATAGTATAGGTACTTTACCAAAAATCATTCATAAGTTGCATTCTTAAAAGTTAACTACATTCTACAACACTTACTTTTGGTAATTTCTTGGCTGCTTTCAAATGTATTCCACCAATTTCAACAACATTTGACGGGATAGGACTTGCAGGTTCCATCACGAAATGTCTATTCACAAATACCAAAGAAGGTGGGATGGGTGCATACAAATCGTACTCTCTGGGTTCTTTGTACTTCAGAATAAGTTCATTTATTTTTCTTACGGCTGTGGTGTAAAGCAAAAGAGCAACATTCGCAGTTCTCTGGAAAAATGTTTTTGGAACAACAAAATTTGCCATGCTATTAGCAACTACAGCGGGGTTGGACATGTGTCCCGTAAATAGACGTTCCATTATACCCATTGTTGGTAATGGTAGAACGTAAATGAGTGGCAAGTTCAACTTGACGGCGACATACGACACGCATTCCGAAAATAATGGTTCAATTAGAACTATGTCGAAATCGGTATGTTTATTAGCTAACAACTCAATCATTTTACTATTTTCATAAACTACGTCGCACATACTTCTACTCATCTCTGAAATCAGACCAATAATTTTAATAGGGTCCCCAAATTTACCCATCAAATCTTCGATTCCCTCGTCTAGAACTGTCATAGCTTTTGTAGATGTAGACACTTCTGTATAGTTTTCACGGTTTCCCTCAGGAAATGGCGTCAACACGGTCACATTGTGGCCCTTGTCCACCAATGCCCGAAGAATTCCGCTCATAAAGTTCCAGTGACTTTTACCTCCTACCGGCTCCACAGCTAATATTCTAGCCCCCTCGACGGGTGCAGGTATCCACGAACCAGCAAACGAGTAAATTAGTATTGAAAAAAAATGTAAGTACATTTTATTTGATTTTAAAACTATCATATTTTGATGTTTGAATAACGTAGGTTACGCGCGTTTGAACTCGAACTGTTACCTGTATTGGACGATTGGGTTTAAATGTTGTTCAATTTGTTGTGCTAATTGTGTGACGTCACCATTTTAATCTTGCTATATTATTTCTATTGCCTCTAATGTTACATGCGAATACTATATTGACCAATTTTGGAGTAGGTGTGTTCACTCCAAGGCTTACACACACACTTGTACGTAACTATGATAAATAGCCAGAAAAAGAGAGATGGAGCAGTAGTGTAGCAAAATAAAGCAATAGTGCCTCAAGGTCACCGGTGCTAAAACTTCTACATTAATATGAACTATAATTATAGATTTAAAGAACAGTACTTTTTCTATTTTAATGAGTAGGTATTTACTTTATAGTTTTATACGCTATACAGGATATCTTAAAAATGTTTTTTTTTTCAGTTAGGTTGGTTATTAGGCATGGTTTTAACTGGTTTTATTAGTTTATTTATTTAATACACAAAAGAAGGCGCTCTATTAGTTAAAACAAAATAATTCACAACAACCGTAAACAATAACATAACGGTTCAATAGTTAACTATTCAGCACTTAATGTTAAAATATGAATTATAATTAATTTCCATTTAATAGTTAACAAAATTTCAACAATATACAAATATACAAGACTATACACACTCTTATCTCGTTATTTTAGATTCATTGCAGGAAAAAATTGTTAAAAATTGAAACTCCATTGTTTTATTATGAACAAAAATTAATATTCCTTTTGCATCATGTTTAAATTGTATACCTACTTATACCTTTTAGTAAGAAATAGTGGCTGGCTGAATATAAATAACGATCAAAATCTCTCGCGTTGCCCGGCAACGATTTTTATTGTTATTTACTAATTGTTTATTGTTATAGCATAGTTCGTGCTTAGTTTGATAACATTTTTTTGATTCTTCTTATGAAGGTTTATTGGCATGCTAATAGAGTTAAATTTCGGGTAAGTGGCCAATTCATCATCATGCCGAAAGCACCAAGAGCACGGATTGAAAATAAAATAAAATGAAGTCACTTTATTTTGTTCGGGATAAACTCCAAACCTACTTATTTAATTGTCGTGCAGTATTTTTTAAATTAAAAAGGACATCACAAATAAGGTTTTAGGCATAAATTTAGTCCCATAAAGTATACAAATACCTATATAATATTAGTACTATAAACTATTCAGATTTCGATTTAATATTTCTAGAAAAAATTGAAAAGAATTTAGTAACAGATTTAAAAATTCTGTAGGAAACAAAAAATACAACAACAATAAAAACTAATACTAAAGCAATGAGATCCAAGAGATAATATTGATACCAAGGTAGGTTAATTGCGTGAGATGTCAGATGGGGAGCACCCTTATGACGTAGAACATACTCTGTCCAGTACACGACTAAGCTTGCTGGTGACATCGGCCGATCTCTGAATATTTTTTGAGCAGTTTTAGCATTCTTCATGTACCTGGAAAAATATATACAAAAATATTTTCAGTAATTCAACATTTTCAATACCTATTTACAAAATATTAGATGCCTTTACTTTTTATTGTTTAATAGTTCTAAAACATTTTTTAAGAACTCATCCTTTGTTACGGACAAAATATTCATAGAAATCGCCATTCCTGCATTGACCAAACTATCAACATTTTTTGGCTGATCAGTAAATAAAGGAAATCCAAGAATGGGGACACCGCCATCTATTGTTTCATATAACCCTGATATACCTCCGTGACTGATGAAGAGTTTCACATTCGGGTGCACTATAATAAAAAAAAAAGTTAAGAATTATAACACGATTTGTATTCTAGAAATTTAAAACACTAAAATATTACAAAGAATTTCACGTTGAGGTAGCCACTTTTTAATCATAACATTTTTTGGTAAATTTTCAATTTCATCTTCATATTTCCATAACACTCTTTGAGGGATTTGTGCGAGTGCATCCATAAATGCTTTTTTGGTGTTTTCTGGCAATGAAGCCATTTTAACAGTTGAACCAAAAGTGAAATAAACAACACCATGAGGCGATTGTTCAATGAATTCTAATATATCCTGTAGGTAAAAATAGAATTTATTAAATGATTTTTTTCGGAATCAATGTGATGGATTTATTTAATTCAATAACATTAAAAATATTATTAAAATCGATAATGTCATAAGATACTTAAAGAAATAGATTAAATAGATTATTGTCCAATATAATATTTAAAAAAATATAATATTATTATGCGAAAGAGGAGTCTATATACTTATATTAATTCTTCTTCAGTTATAAATAAACAAATTATATTGTTTTGATTTATTTTGTAAAATTAAAAATTGGTTTTGAATTTTTTTTTTATGTATAAATTGTCAACATAGGTTTAGCTTCATAAAAGAAGGTACCGATAAACGGCTTACATTTTCCTGGAATCATTTATTTAATATTTTTGATTGATTTTCAAATTTTGAAAATATTATATAAAAGTGGATACTTCTCCCTTCCTCTTTTGCTCTCTTTTGAAACTTGGGTAAATCACTAATAGGTTTCATTCCTAACAGTTAACTACATTTTACACTTAAATGTTAACTACAACACTTACTTTTGGTAATTTCTTGGCTGCTTTCAAATGTATTCCACCAATTTCAACAACATTTGACGGGATAGGACTTGCAGGTTCCATTGTGAAATGTCTATTGACAAATATCAAAGAAGGTGGGATGGATGCATACAAATCGTAGTCTCTCGGTTCTTTGTACTTCAGAATCAGATCATTTATTTTACTTACGGCTGTCGTGTAAATCAAAAGAGCAACATTCGCAGTTCTCTGGAAAAATGTTTTTGGAACACCAAAACTTGCCAGGTTAAAGGAAACCACAGCGGGGTTGGACAGGTGTCCCGTAAATGAACGTTCTTGTATACCCATTGTTGGTACTGGGTAGACGTATATGAGCGGCAATTTCAACTTGACAGCGACGTATGTCACGCAATCCGAGAATGTTGGTTCAATTATAACTATGTCGAAATCGGTACGTTTATTAGCTAAAATCTCTATCATTTTACTATTTTCATAAACTACGTCGCACATATCTCTACTCATCGCTGACGCAAAACCAATAACTTTAAGAGGATCACTAAATGTATCCATCATATCATTGAGGTCTTGTGCTAAAAATTGCATAGCTTCTGTAGATGTGGACACTTCTGTATAGTTTTCACGGTTTCCCTCAGGGAATGGCGTGAACACGGTGACATTGTGGCCTTTGTCCACCAATGCCCGAAGTACTCCATTCATATAGTTCCATTGACTTTTACCTCCTACCGGCTCCACAGCTAATATTCTAGCCCCCTCGACGGGTGCAGTTATCCACGAACAAGCAAACGTGTAAATTAGTATTGAAAAGAGAGGTAAGAACATTTTATTTGATTTTAAAACTATCATATTTTGATGTTCAAATAACGTGGGTTTCTTGCGTTTAAACTTGAACTATTACCAGTATTGGACTGTTGCTATTTAATAACTGTTGTTCAATTTATCATGTTCATCGCGTGACGTAACCATTTTAATTTTGCTATATTATAACTATTGACTCTATAATTAGACTTGAATACCATATTGATTAATTTTGAAGTAGATGAGTTCACTGCAGTGTTTATACACACACTTGTACGCAACTATGATAAATAGATACAACAAGGGGGACGAAGCAGTTGTTTAGCGAAATAAATCAAAAAGTTGTATACAACATTTAGTTTCTATGATAGAAGAAACTATATTTTGGAATGGCAGTCGGGCTTGCAAACGTTATAATAACGTTATGATTATAACGTTATATTTGATAAAAAACGATTGAAATTTGTAAACGTTATTATAACGGAAAACGATTAACGTAAATAAATAAATAACATAAAACAAAACCTAACGTTTAACAAAATATATGATGTATCATTTAACAAAACATAACGCAAAACGGTATATATTGTATTCCATTAAACAAAATAATTAATTCAAAATTATTTAATAATACTTAGTAGTATTCAATTATTTATTCAATCCAAGAATTAATTTTATTCCGTATCCGGCCTATCCGGGAGATCCCGTATTAGATATTATTTTAAAACTTAATAAGAAGTTATTAATAGAATAATTTAATTACCAATAGCTAATAATAGTGATGCTCTGATAATATTGTACTGTACTATCTGTACTACGGTCGAAATTTATACCACTCAAGTTATTCAACTATTGTGTTCGGTGTTCAGTTTGCTCAGATTTATTCACTCGTCAGTGTTTGTCTAATTGTTGTCAAATGTTTAATATTTATATTTTATACTAATATACTTATAGTTTTAACGTGCATACGTTTTCTTTATATTAGTTTAACCCATTTAATTAAATAAATAAAATTAAACAATACCTACTTAAAACTCAGAATAGGGAAATTATGTCCCCAAAAAAAGGTTGTAGTCGTATACTTTTAAAACAGGTATCTAAATACTTTAACATTTTAAATAACGATAAACCCAAAAATTGTATAACGTTTTAATTATGAATAACGATAAACGCAAAAATTGTATAACGTTTTAATTCTGAATAACGATAAACACAAAAGTTGAATAACGTTTAAATTTTGAATAACGATAAACTCAAAATTTGTATAACGTTTTGATTGTAAATAACGTAAAACAAAATTTATTTTTCAAATGCAAGCCCTGAATTAGCAGAGTATTTGTAATGATAGAGTGTGAGAACCTTTTAATTTTTTCCAGTTCACTACAGGATAATGGTGATTTATTATTTATTTTCATTAGGTTCCTACTGTAAAATTGAGAGATCAGAAGCTCGAAACGTACCTACTAAATTTACGATAAATTTAAGAAAGAAACAGGATACAAATACATCGAGTGTCTTTCAGTATATTATAAATTTTCAAGTGATAAGTTATTAAAAAAGTGGATACTTAAATTATGATAGTTATTTACAAAATATTTCATGTTATTAAATTATAAAATGAATCAATTGCTTTAGCATTATAACTAATAACTTTACTTACTATTCTGTTAACCTATTATTTCATCTGAAAACATCCTTTTCAATGTTTATTTATGTATGTAATAAAAGCCGAGGAAATAAATATGCTGTGTAGTAGGTTTCGAATGTAGTTACTTAGTCATCGAGTAATAGATATTTGTGATGGATATGTTGAAAATTGAATTTGAATCCAATGATAAATCAGTCTTAACGAAAATTTATTCTTAGCAGAGATAGTGTTTTTACTTTATAATTTATATTATACATATTTATGTTCATTTGGCAGGTTAAACTCATTTTTATCAAACACATTACTTATATATTGTATAATAGTTACTATGATCTTTTATCATATATTATTGTTATTAATTTATTATTAGATGGCTTTCTAAGTTTCAATTATGTATTTATGTTATAATAATAAACAACGTAAATGACAAAAAATGATTGAAATTTTTAAATGTAATCAAACAGAAAACAATAAAAGAAAAAGATAAAATGTTGCAAAATAACCCTTAAGGTTTACAATATTTTATAGTATATCATTAAATAAAAAATAACCCGACGAAGACTTAGACAAAATTATTAATGCCATTTTATACTACTCTATAATAAATACATTTTTTTCAATTTATATTTATTTTGTGGAACTGTTTTGGAATTATTATTATCTTAGCGAAAAATCTAAGCAATATATATTTATATTCAGTATTCATTAGGTGCGTCATCACCAATTCAATATTATTGATAATTTTTTTTAAGCTGTCTGTACTTTAGATTCGGGACGGAGCTATGAATGTTTTGATTTTACAAAGAATTGTGTTTTTTAAACCTTTTTTTTCGTCTGTTATCACGGTTTTTGGCAGTAAAAGTGCTTCGATTTTCTTCAACAGAAACTTTTCTGGTAGAAAGTGAAACTAGTTGTTGAATTTAGGAGGTCAAAACCCCAATAGTTTTCAATAACGACATTCGAGAAACACGACACATTTTTTTACCCAAAACTAGTTTTCAAAAAAATCTATTTTGGTTTTTAGTGTAAGTTTAAAATAAATGACCTTTATGAACTTAGCAGTGCAATGACAACAGACAAATTTTAAGACGGTCTAACAAATTTTTTAGTGAGTTGTTAGAGATATACAATTTTTAAAATTTGTTAGACTTTATTTTCGAAGTTGGATCACATTCTTTTTTTGCACTGCTATCTTCACCGTAGCACTGCAAAAGTTTGTTAGGACTTTTTTCTCGCTCAAACAATGTATCTCGGTTTGTTAGAGATTGTTAGAAAACTTTCAAAGTTTGTTAGACATTATTTTCGGAGCTAGAAATTGTTTACTTTTGCCCTACTATCTCTAATTATTATATTACATAGCCGTATGTCGTATACCGTGTGTAAATGTGTATAAAATAATAACTTCCTATTTCCTACAATAAATATGTATTTTGTTTTGATTTTTGATCTTTTATTGAGCCATACGCATTATAATATAGATTTATCTAAATCTAAATGTCTAAAAAATAAATGCAACTTTAAAGACACAATTGTGTAACTAAATACTCATTACCATCTTGTTGTAATTAAAAGTATATGAACCTGAGGAGTTAATATTAGTATTATTTGGTGAAGCAATATTTGTATTTTTATTACATTTTTTTTTATTCATAAAACCATTTTTTATTCATATGAGCTTTATTTTTTCAATCATTATTTTTTTTATTCATATTCGATTTTTATTAATTATTATTTTTTAATCATGTTAGATTTTATTTTTATGAATCCATTCTAACCAATAAAACTTAAAATTATCCTCTTTTTACATTCTTTAATAATGAAAATAATAATAGGGAGCGATGTAATTAAAAATTTTTAACTTCGAAAATAAAGTCTGACAACCTTTAGAAATTGTCTAACAATCTTTAACAAACCGAGATGCGTTGTTAGAGCAAAAAAAATTTGTTGTAACAAACTTTTTCTAGTTTTCTACCTCTAGCAGTGAAAAAGTTAAAAATTCCCAGCTTTGAAAATAAAGTCGAACAAACTTTAAAAGTTGTCTAACAAACTCTAACAAACTGAGATAGTAAATTTGTTATGTACAATTTTTTTTTGTTTTTGTATCTAAGATTTAAAAATTTAATACAAAATTCCTAATAAGTTTGTTTGCCTTTATCAAAAAAAAAAAAAATGTCCACCGAAAAGTCAAATTAAATTTTTATGAGCGTTTGAAGTTGACACTTGATATTATTATAACATTGGATATTATCACTGGATTTCTCATGTAGCTATTTTCTGAGTTTGTTGTAATTACAAAACAAGACACTTGAAACAGGCACGTACACAGAATAAAATTTCGGGGGGGGTTNGGGGGGTTTACAAAATATAGCAATATAAATTGTACAGCAACATAATAAAACAATTTCTTCCTACTTACTCACTATTTTTAATGTGACAATTATTATGCTAAATATTCAAACGTTAAGTATGTCATTTATTCAGTGTTCTGAAGTAAGTATATTTAAGAAATATGAATATTAGGAATAATAATAGAAATAATAATAAATAAAACTTTAAATAATATGTATTATGAACGTCGAACAGAACAGAAATTTATTTGATTATTATATGCACATACAATTACATAGGTATATTAAGCTTTTAAGTAGATAGAAGAAAAAAAATCAAAAAAAATGTATATATTTTATAGAATTTCTTGGAAAATTAAGTCAAATTTATTATACTCCTATATTATTATAAAAGATTTTTAGAATAAATTAGCTGTTGACTGTTTTTAAAATATTGCAACCGAAGTTGATGTACCCAACGCTTCGCAGACGCAACTTGATACAAATATAGACAATGAATCGTTAAAAAATTATTCTCTGGATATTGGATTATTTTTATCAGGTTCTAATAATATAAATTATGCAAAAAAATACGAGTTATTAAAAAATCCATGGACACCAGGCAAAAATTACCAATTTCCCATCGAACAACAAAGGCGGCTGAAATTTCAATTAGATTGGTTAAACCGTTTTCCTTGGCTTGTTTACTCCGAAAAAGTGCAAGGTGCCCTGTGTAAATGCTGTGTACTATTTTCCAATAACAGTGTTGGAAAAGGGCTCCATCAAAAATTAGGTGCTCTGATTATAAAACCTTTTACAAAATGGAAGGATGCCATTGAACGTTTTAATCATCATTCAAAATCTGAGTATCATAAGCTTTCAACCATTCGCTCTCAAGAATTTATTAAAGTAATGGAAAACAAAAAGAATAATCTTGCAAATGAGATAGATACTTCACGAAAAAAACAAGTCATTGAAAATCGATCTATTCTTCGTCCAATAATTGAAACCTTAATTGAAAACCAAGAGTAACGATTTTAGTTGTTTTATTGTAACTTAAAAATATCACTCATGGGCACTCGAAACTGTTAGAGTATATTAATATATTTTATACAAACAAATGGCTTATCGATTTACGTGTATATGATCTAAGATT